TCAGGGAAAGGTCCTCTGTTGGGATCACATAGAAACTTACTTTCTTGTGTTTTTCTGCAATCGATGGTTGTATATAAATCTGCTTTGTGATAACCTGATACAAATAGTGTCTTTTTTAAATTAAGTGTACATCAGTTGCAGATACAACCATCAGCTACAGATACAAAAAAAGCTATATATCATTCTATAAATGATATCCCTTCAGCAACTTATTTTGTTTTAATTGCTTTATAAATTGTAAGCAATGCTTTTTATTCAATAAACTTGAATTCTTTTATAGATACAAATTATTGGATAAACTGAACTAAAAGATAAAAAATAAAAAGGAGAGGTTAAGTTATTCCTTGTTCTTTCCTTCTCTTTATTGATCTAAAATTTTCTTTAAACATCTTAAATCTCTGTGTGAAGGTGAAATGAAGAGAATCTTTTATTTATTTATTATCTTCCTTTTTGTAGAGGTTTGGCTAGGTAGAGGTATGTTTGTAAAGAGAGGTGTAACTTGGGAATTTCCAGTTGGTTTGGTGTTCTAAATTTCATTCCGTCAGGCAAATTGTTCTAGTTGTAGTTATATAAGTTCCTTCACTGAAATAGCAATAATAGGCTGTATCCAAGAAAATACACAATTTAATAGGGATAAAATAAATGCAATAATGTATACTTGGGCCAGTGGGTGTTACATAGCTTGAGTAAATAAGTATAAGCAGCATTTCATTGCAAATATGAGGCTGATTCTGTGGATTAGCTTGAGTAATATCTATTGCAACTTTCTGCTAGTGTGCTTTTCTTTACTGTATTTCCCAGACTTCTTTGCACCAGGGTTTTGGGTGTCACTTAGGTTTTGTCAGTCAGATACACTATGAGCCTCACCAAGCATTCTTTTGAGGTTGTGGGTTATACAGATCAAGTGCTACTGGAGCTGGTATCTCTCTTGGTTGCTCACTTCTTGGAAGCACAGGCCAGACTTTTTTACTATCCTTTTTGTGATTCTCTAGGCCAGTCATTAGGAAGAACTGAAAATCATGACAGTTCATGAATATTGAATCTTCTCTTCATGAACATGGGATGCCTCTCTAAAATTTTTAATTTATTTTTATTGAGATACATTTCATATACCATAAAATTCGCCCTTTTAAAGTGCACAAGTCATTGCTTTTTACTGTATTCGGAGATGTGCAACCATCAGCACAACCTACAAGTGCATAAGTCATTGCTTTTTACTGTATTCGGAGATGTGCAACCATCAGCACAATCTATTTCTAGACTAACACGCCAAGAAGAGACGTATATCTATTAGTAGTCACTCCTCCACCCTCCCCTAGCCAGTGGCAACTAAAAATCTATTTTCTGTCTTTCATATTTTCTGTTACGTACATTTAATGTGCAATAAGATGGTACTTCAAAAAGCTTGTGGAAAATAGAGTTAAAAGATAACATGAATC